AAAAAAAAAAAGAAAGTTCTGCAGTCTTGTTCTTGGCCAACACTTGCCACGGCTGACATGACACGTTATATCTTCTCTGATTGGATTCATCCCTTCATTCATCTGCTTCATCCTTGGAGAAAACCAGATCTGTGCCTTGTGTTGCTTGAAATGTCATGGTCCCATGTCACCCAGGGTTATAAGACGTAATTGTATGTTAGGAATACACCAAGCCATGTATCACTGTAAATACACAATGGGGCTAACAGGAGCAAGGGACGCTACTACTTCCCAGGGTCAGCCTCCTGGCTTCTGCCAAGAACCCTTAAAAGGTGTAATATGCTAATGACGGTTTAACCGGACATTGAGGCGTGCCCCCTCCTGTATTTGTGACGTCGCACCGCAGCCAGCAGTCCACACCTCCTGGCTGGCTGTACTTAACTGCTGTTTTTCCTGTTTTCCTCCAGGCTGGAAGACCATCACACACTTCCCCAGACAGCCCGACATGCCAGGAACAACTGCCCACAGGCCCTGCCAAACACTCACGAGGCTGTCTCCGGTGAGGGCAAGCCCAGCACCCCTGAGTCCCGCGTTTCCTCTTCATGTAAGAACGTGGGCAGCATGCCGGGTCAGCTCTGGGACTGTGATGTCTAGAACCTACGCGCAACGGCAGCAGGAGTGGCAGATGCACGCCTGCCCCTGGGAAGCCCTCTGGCCTTTGCCACAGCCCGGTGTCACAGAGGCTCATGCGCTTCCCCACCCACAGCCAGACCATGCTAGGCTGGTCCTCGGAGCACTGTCAGCTTTTCCCGTTTGGGAGCTCCTGGGGCAAGATTTCTGACTGGTGAAAGCCAGCTTTAATGTGAAGCTTTGGAGGAGGAATCCCGTGCTGATGTAGGTCTGTGACCCTGGTTCTGGTAGCTCCGATTCTGGTGCCGACAAGGACGGCCGCCTGCTGGAAGGCTGGACCGAGGCTGAAATGTGCAACTAAGAGCACAAACAACTCTGGGATCCAAACTCGTTTGAAACTTCCAGCTGATTTAACCAGAGGCCAATGGGAAATAAAAGTATTTTTTTAGATGCCAGAAAAAACATATATACTTGAATCAGAAATGTACAAAGTATTTTTTTTTAATTTTTGAAAGGAAATTAAAAGGATTATGAGCAGTTCAGATAAGACTCTAATTTCCATTTGAGTAGGAAAAACAACAGGGGAGCGGGTTGGATTCCTGTCTGAGAAACAGCTGAGAACTTGCATCTGCTCACAATTGGATTCAGACGCTTCCAGGCCCAGGTGCAGAGGGGTAGCCAGTGACGAGCCAGCAATGGCTGGGTTATTTGGGACCCTGGGTCTCTTGATGATGAGCAATTTCAGAGGTTTTGCCAGCATGGCTCATCAGTTCTTTTACACGTGTTTTATTAGAGCTGTAAATATTAATATGCTTTCCAAAGGTGAGCAGCTCAGTATTTATCCAGAGATTTCTGCTGCCAAGGTGGAGGTCTTCGGGTGTCTAACAAGTTTTGCCAATTTGACTGAATGCCGTTGAGTTAACACTGATTTCAAGTTCTTAGGCCTGGACTTCCTAAAAGGCCCCGCAGTACATTCAGGGTAACATCGCGGTAACATCCTTGCTTTACCAAAATGACCACCAAGAGGCCCTTTATCTTTGCACTGATTGGACGTGCCTCTGGAAAGCTCTGTCATGCTGCTGTTACCTGCAGGGTGGAGGCACTCCAGGTTGGTATGGATGGAAATGGCCCCGTGGCGGCTACCACAATGTTGATATTACTGTTCTGTTTCAGAACAGTTTACTTTAGCCCTGGCAAAGTCTTGGTGCAGGCACATTCTGGGTCCTTGCATGAATAGGGTGGGCACCCCAGGACACTCAGCCTTGGTGGACACGGGCGGTTCCCAGTGCTGCTTCCTAGGGAGGCAGTAGCCTCTCACCAGCCCCTCAGATGGACCAGCTGGAGCCAGAGCAGTGCTTTTCCCAAATCCTGCGGTCGGTGCCCCCATCAGCCTGCCCCAAACACTGAGACCGTGTTCTGAGTGTCCCTTCCTCAAGCCTGCTCCCATTGGCTCAGCCTGGCTGGGACCCAGGACGCTGACCCCCAGCCCTGCCCTTCTCCACCTGCCAGGGACCAAGAATAGTCACTGCCCTCCCTGGCCCTACCAGGCCCGCCCTGAGCCTCAGACCAACACCTCTAGTCCTCCTTTATTTTAAGACAAGGTCTCACTCTGACTCCCAGGCTGGAGTGCAGTGGCCAGTCATAGCTCACTGCAGCCTCACACTCCTGTGCCTAAACGATCCTCCCACGTCAGCCTCCTGAGTAGCTGGGACTACAGATGCACCACCATGCCAGCCAAAGTTTTTTTTTATCTTTTGTAAATACGGAGTTTTGCTATGTTGCCTGAGCTGGTTTTGAACTACTGGCCTCAAGTAATCCTCCCACCTGAGCCTCCCAAAGCACTGGGATTTGGGCATGAGCCATCATGCCTGGCCCTCTTAGTCGCCTTTAAAATCCTTTAGCTTGACAGAAAGTTCTTCCTTTGGAGAAACCAAGCCCCAGATTAAGTTTTCTCTGGATCAGGAGTAAGCCTTTTCCATGCCTGCAGTAGATTCCATTCTGACTTCTGCCTTCTTTCAGACAGGCCTGCCCATGGCCTGCTGCTGTCTCCCCAGGCCTCCCTGCCCCCCTCCCCATCCTGTCGCCTGCCTCTGGCTCAGTAGATAAGGGGGCTACGGTTAAGCAGAGGGATGAGTGAGGGGGAGGGGGAATGAGCATGGGGAGAGCAGGGAGCTGGCAGTGCTGGGCTGGGTGTGGGCACCCCTGAGCCAAGCTGCCTTCTGCTTCATTCCTTCCCTGCTCAGGAGCTTGGCCTGACTTCCTCCAGACAGTCCTCCTTCTCCAGCCCTCCCCTCAACTTCAACTGATTGATTGATGGTAGAGAGGGGTGTCTCTCTGTGCTCCCAGGCTGGTCTTGAACCCCTGGGCTCAAGTGATTCTCCTGCCTCAGCCTCCCAAAGTGCTGGGATTACAGGTGTGGGCCCCCTCCACTTCCCTTCTCTGGCTCACCTTGCCCCAGGCCACGCTTCCCACAGGTCTCCTTGCATGCAGCGCGCAGCTGACTCTGGCCTGTGCTGGGAACTACCCCCCCCACCCAGAGACCCCATAGAAACAACCGCCTCCACATTGAATTTCTTGAGTAAGAGCCTTTGCGATTTGCATTCAGTTGGCACTGCAGGGAAAGCTTATGAGGAGGAACCTGTTGGACCCTCAAACTGCTTGATCTGTGGAATGCAAGGCCAGAAAGTACATTTCTAGGCAAAGGACTCGGCCCCAAATGCCAAGAGGAAATACTTCCTATGGGAAAAGGCCAAGAATATGGCTTAGCATTTTGCAAAACACTGGCCTGAGGAAAGCCATTCTCATTTCCCCACCAACCACGACTATCTTGAATATCAAAATCACATGCCTTGGGACTTCATAGGCCGGGAGTTAAAATGCCCAGAAATGGACCAGCAGGCAAGAGATACTACCGTGCCACAGGGAGCCTCTGGTGCGCACCCAGGGTGCCCCAGATCTTAGCTCCTGGCTCTTTAGTGTGTGTGTGGGGGGGGGGGGGGGGGGTCTCTTGTTCTTTTTACTTATTTTTATTTATTTTTTATTTATTTTTTTGAGGTGGAGTCTTGCTCTGTCACCAGGCTAGAATGAAGTCGCACAATCTCGGCTCACTGCAACCTCCGCCTCTGGGTTCAAGTGATTCTCCTGCCTCAGCCTCCCGAGTAGCTGGGACTACAGGCACGCACCACCACACCTAGCTAATTTTTGTATTTTTAGTATAGATGAGGTTTCACCATGTTGGCCAGGCTGGTCTCGAATTCCTGACCTCAAGTGATCCTCCCGCTCCAGCCTCCCAAAGTGCTGGGATTACAGGTGTGAGCCACCGTGCCCAGCCGGTCTCTTGTCCTTGGTGGGATCTCTGAAAGTCTGCAGTGCAACCTGTGCTGGAGGAAGTGGGGGAGGAGAAAGTGACAGTTGAACCAAGACCACCTCATGGCTTTGGGGGACGCCAGCTCAGTTCCTCCTCTTTTGTGGCCACCCGCCCCCCCCCCCCCACACACACACCCTGGGAAGCTCCTGGTCCTAGAGGGCTTGCCTGGCGTGGGCACAGCTTTGTGACACCACACGTTGTAATGGGGTTCCCCTGCGTGTAGCCCAGCAATTCTGTGTGACTCCACTCAAGTATTCTTTTTGCACCTACGCTTTGTCTCCTGGCCCTATTCTAAGCACACAGCCTGTGCCAACTGTCCTGAAGCTCTAGTTCCAGACCCAGATCCAGGTGGATGCCGCCCAGTGCCACCCGCTGGGTTCTGGTATCAGAAATAGATTCTCGTTTGGGTCAAAAGAGAATTATCTGGAAGTCAAAGCCCCTTGCTTCAGGGAAACCTGCAGGGAAGGTCCCTTTATATTTAAGATGAAACAGATCACACTGCAAAGCGGCAAAGGTGTTTCCAAAATGAAAGAACTGAGAGGAGTTTGGCCTAAGGGAGCCACGGATGCAGCTCTGTCACAGTGTTGCTGCAGCAGTGACATGGACCCCTTTAGCTGTAGGAGAAGGGGTCGTGGCATCCGAGATACAGGAACATCTGTTCCCAGGTCCCTGGGAGGCCCCTCGGCGTGCTGTCTGGGATTCTCTGTCGGCTTCCCCATGAAGGGCTCTTGCATGTCCCAGCTGTCCGGGTCCCGGGTGGGCGTCAGCCATGGCACCTGTCACTGGGAGTCAGGGCACTTCCTGGCCACCTTGGGTGCACCAAGGGGTTCATCATTAAGGAGCCTCGGGCTGCTTCGTGAGGAGCACCCTGCCTCTCAGGTTGTTGGTTTTAGGTAGCTCACACCTGTAATCCCAGCACTTTGGGAGGCCGAGGTGGGCGGATCACGAGGTCAGGAGGTCGAGACCATCCTGGCTAACACGGTGAAACTCCATCTCTACTAAAAATGCAAAACATTAGCTGGGCCTGGTGGCAGGCGCCTGTAATCCCAGTTACTCGGGAGGCTGAGGCAGGAGAATTGCTTGAACCTGGGAGGCAGAGGTTGCAGTGAGCCAAGATCAAGCCACTGCACTCCAGCCTGGTGACAGAGCAAGATTCCGTCTCATATATTTGAGTTTCAGATGAGCAAATGTGCCTCCATGTTCCATGTGGTGGCGCCTCGCTGTGGCCCAGGGAGACAATTCGTTGTTCTGAGGGCTTTCCAGAGGCTGAGGGAGCTGGAGAGGCTGGAGGCAGGGTGATCTGCACATCCCTGGGCTGTGCCCTCCACGCCCCCCTGCCCAGCGAATTCCCAGCCTGCATGAGTAAACAAGTGCCCCAAGCCGCAGGCACCAGGAAGCCCGCAGGGCCTGGCTGGGGTGCGCTTTTCTTGGCTTTACAGCCCAGTGCAGGAGAAGGCATCCTTAGAGGGGCTCCAGAGCAGATCGGGACTGAACTTTCTCTCCTCCTCCCCAGTGGCCATCAACGCCAGGCCCAGAGAGTGGCGGCCAAGAGGATGTCAGGAAGAGCCTCACCCGGCCAGCACAGGGACCCCCAGCCAGCCGAGGGAGGCGCCCCAGGACCCAGGCAGGAGAGAGATCACCAGGTAAGGGGATGTCACAAGGCCTTGAACCCTACTCTCGGAGCTCTTGGAGTGGGCGCCCCCCCGCCAGATGCAGAGCTCCTCTGAGGCCCAGCCTCTGTCAGGGGAAGCCAAGGAGCAGTGTCAGGATTCCCAGGGGAGGGCAGCCGCCGCTCCTGGCCACCCTCCGACGGTTGTGCTACCTGAGAGCCATCAGTCAGACTCGAAGGACATGGCACTCAGAGACATCCCCACGGAACTAGTTTTCAGACTGCCAGGCGAACATGTCCGGGACTGTGTGATGGAGTGGCTTGGGGACAGTGTCCCGTCTTAGCTCTTTACGTCTGGAGGAGGTGGGCTGGAGGGCAGAAAGATGGAGAAGGAGGTAAGTAAATAGTCTGGCTCTGAAGTTACTTCCTGAAACAGAAACTGGGCTCCCAGGCCGTGGCATGGTGGCGCACACCTGTAATCCCAGGATGCTGGGAGGCTGAGGTAGGAGGATTGCTTGAGCCCAGGAATTTGAAACTAGCTTGGGCAACATAGTGAGACCCTGTCTCAAAAAAAAAAAAAAAAAAGAAAAAGAAAGGAAAAAGAAACTGGGACCCCAAGCAGAAGAAAAAGAAAAAAAAAATGGTGTTTTCCCTTCCTCTGCACCACATGCACACAGACTGGCCCTGTGGGTCGTCAGGGGTTCTTTGGGGTCTAGAAAGGACCTTCCCAATCTCTCCAGCTCTTCCTTTTGGACCTGGAGAAACCTGCTCAGGGAGAGGCGCCTGGCCTGGGTCTCAGACCCTGCCTGTCCAGATCACCAGGCAGGCCAGCTGCCCCTCACCGCTTCCTCCCAGCCACAAGGGAAGCCAACCTCCCATAGTAAAATAGGGGCTGGAGCAGCTTCAGCTCAGCTCTGGAGGCCCCAGGAGAGCCTGCACCCCACTAGCAGAGAAAATCAGAGAGACAAAGAGGCAGGAAGAGAAATAGATAGGGAGCGACAGACAGGAGGAGGATGCCAAAGAAAGGGGGCGTGGTCGAGTGTGCGGAGCCCCGCAGCGGCTGCAGCTTCCTCTGGTGGGGATAGGCTAGAAGCTGAAATCCGAACTGAACTGGGGGAAGGACAGGAAGGACCTGGACGAGGGAAGGGTGGCCGGCCATCTCTAAGGGGAAGAGGGGTCAAAGGTGGCTGCATTGTTAGGGGATGGGCCAAGCCACTGGTCTCCTCCAATCCATTGCCAACCTGCCTGGGGACCCAGGGACCCTCCTCCCCTACCTGGGCCTCCTCCCCTCTCTCTGTGGCTGAAGAAGAGCTTGTCTGCCAGACCAGGGGTTCTCAGGCTTTCAGCATCCCCCTGAAATAAAGGCTCAAAATGAGAGACCTCTGAAGGGCGGGCCAGAGCCATCTCATGCCCCCATGCCAGACTGCATTCTCCCCTGCGGTTCAGCCAGGCCAAACCTCCCTTTCCGCTGTAGGCCACTTCTTTTTACTTCCTGTCAATGCTGAGCTCATTTCTGAGGCTCTCCACTGGGGTCAGCCCTCTCTCCCCAGAAATAATTGTTTTCACAGTCAGTAGGCAGCCGACCCCAAGGGACCTCATTACATCCAGCAGGGTTGCCTAGCTGGCCCCCCAAGATTCTGTTGGGCACAAAGGCCCCTCAGAGTCCAGCCCAGAGGTGCCCTCCCCTTGGTGTCAGTCACTGAAGCCAGCTCTTATGTTAAGCCTGGGGGTTCTGTGTGAGGAAGGAGAGCATGGAAAGAGGGAGAAGGAATAAAAGTCCATCCCCTCTCCCCCTGCCTCACTGGCAACGTCATCCAGAATATGACGCCATTCTAGATGAGGTGTGCGTGTGAATACGTCATATGGATGTGGTCTAGAGTGCCACAATCTTCTAGATGGCAAAAGGCCATCTCTTGTTAGGCTGACTTCCGCTCTAATTCAGGTCTCAGCTAAGCATCCCTTCCTCCTCCCTGACCCCAAAATGCAGGTCACACCCTTCTGCCAGGCTCAACAGCAGCCACAGTCCCCCCACGGGGCGGAGACCCCACTGTGTTGTCATGGGGTCTGTGGCTGCCTCTTGCTGCTTCAGAAACAAGCACGGTGTGCAGGGCATTCGGAGTGTGCAGGGCCTGCTGGGGGTACAGGGAGTGAAGGGCATGCAGAGAGTGTGCACAGTGTGCAAGGAATACAGGAAGTGCAGGGCATGCAGGGAGTGTGTAAGGAGTACAGAGAATGCAGGACATGCAGGGCGTGTGCACCATGTACAGGGCATGTAGGGAGTGTGCACCATGTGCAGGGAGTGTGCACCGTGTACAAGGCATGTAGGGAGTGTGCACCATGTGCAGGGAGTGTGCACCGTGTACAGGGCATGTAGGGAGTGTGCAC